GTTTTCCCACCACTTTGGTGGTAAATAGTTTTCCCGGTTTTTTTTTTTTTGGCAATTGAAACAAATTCTATCCTTTTATTGGACAATTTTCACGGAAAACAAAGTCAAATGAATATCAAAAGATCCAAAATTTCAATATTTTTCAGGTGAAAAATTATATCAATCAAACACAATGAATTGACAATTCTCAATAAAACAAGTTTTAAACAATTCAATTTCCTAAAATTCATTTTCTTTTCACCCAAAGTTCATTCTTACAATCAAACCGACCCTTAATTTGAATTGCACTAAAAAAAAAAAGTTGACATGTTAGCCATCATTTGGCCATATTATTTCTCGTTAAATTATGATTCATTTTTTCCTTATCAGTCACATATTCTTTAATAAAGTAATATTATACGTAAATTCAAAAAATTCTTCTTTTTTAACCATACATCCTTAAAAAAAAATTACTATTTCTCTCATTATAATTTGAAATAATGGGAGCCGGGAATTAAGTTAAAGTAACACCTTGTTGAACCCTATTTCTGGTTAAGAATGCATTCTTGAATAGTAGATCGATAGAGAATGTATGGTTAAAAAATAAGAAATTTTTTTGGATATATATGTAATATTACTTTATTGAATAATATGTTATTGAAAAAAAAAATTTCTTTTTTTAAATAATGGGGATCAAACAAGGGCTTTGTTTGGTCTCCGTTGCTTTTAAAATACAATTTTCTCTCTCATTTTTAATCGTGCATTTTTCAATAAAATAATATTACACGTATATCAAAAAAAATTTCTTATTTTTTAACTGTACATTCTCCATCAAAATAGTTTTTCAAATGTATTTTCATCTAAAAATGGGGCTCGAGCAGGCTCATAATATAATATATCTAGATAAAATTGATATACTGTCCACAGTGAGCAAGAGTTACGTTGTCCACTTGTTGATGTGGCGTTTTAACGTCGGCGAATCAAGCCTCTTTTTTTTTTTTTTTGCGTTAAAAAAAGGCTTGTCCCGCCAACTTGTCAAGTTTATACTGACCACTGTGGGCAAGAAATCAGGTCTGCATATATGATAGTCGGAAGAAAAAACCAAATGAATTATCTAAATATAAAGGATCATCGTGTAGACTAAATCAATCAGCATAATATAATATTGCTCTCTAGTGTTCTTATTTTTTTTATCTCTCACCCTTGAAATAAAAATAAGATGAAATTTAAATTATACCGAAACACATTCAGGATGAAATTTGAATTAGTTAGTTTATATATTAGACATTAGTACAATGTAAATTGGAAACATTTCTATTTGTATATCAACTAAACTGCTATATATGAAATGCATTGATGATGCTCTTAGGATGGCAAGATTGTTGCTCATCCCATCCCAATCTCATCCCGACTTATATTGCAATCAAGCGTAAAATGAAAGATCATATATATTGTATTCGTGATTGTTCTATTCTCGTAATATATATTTGACATATGAACACATAATCTCTTTTTTGAAAATGAAAAGACGTCAAATTTTTTAACATGTCAACATTTTACACCTTTTCATCTTCCTATTTTCTAAGAAGAGGTGGTGTCGACTTTGTTGACTTATGGTTGATTTCACCCTTAATATTTTGATTATAACAAATAAGATTAATATTGTTTCTAACATTTGATTTTGAGTGATAATAGTTAATTGTTAAAATCAATCAAGTATTGACAAAATCAACACATCATAAATCGAACTCGTAATGACGATCAAAGTTGAAGTTAAGCATTCAAGTCTAATCATTTGAGACAAGAACTAAAAAACAAACAACAAGAAAGAGCAAGATCAAGAGCATGATAGACAACATCAAAGGAAAATCAAGACTGGAAGTCTAAGAGGCAAATTTCGAAGTAAAATCAAAGACTAGACTTCTTAGTTCAAATCGTTTTATGCATGAAAAGATTATTTTATAAAAACACTTACATAAAAATTATCTTTCAAAAGATGAGTATTTCAACTTGATGTTCAAACTCATTACAATACACTTACCTTGAAAAATGAAGTAAA